GCTATGGGTCGGTACCGACTCAATGGCACCTAACAACAACAAACAAGAAAGACCAGGTGTCGGATAAGCTCTTGATTGCAAAGTTGGTTTGAACTGCAAGTTTGGCAATTCGAACTCTCTATTCGCTTATCAGAAACCCAATGCAGGATTGCTATGCGTCAGATCTGATTCGACAATATTAAACAACAAAAAGAATGACCAGTTAATACCACTGTTATTCTAATTTACATACCCACTGAAATCAGTGAGGATGAAATTGAATAATTCAACCAACTTTTTCAGTTAGAAATTGATCAGACACGAATCAAGATGTGTTGATTATTGCTGGTGATTGTAGACTGGTGATTTGGACTGTCCCTGCTGAGGTAATCACAGTTCCAGCCATCACATTGGCGGTGATGGTAGTGTGTCGTGGAGTCGGTTCCAACTCATAGCAACCCTGTATAGAGTTTCCAAGGCTGTAAATCTTTATGGGAGCAGAAAGAGTCATTACATTAGGGGTGAGTTAATTAAATGTTTGACCAAATACGCCAGCTAGTTTTTAAGTTGATAATTTTGTATGGCATGAATTTTGTCATAAATATCCAAATGGCCCTTTGTGCAAGGATATCAAGCTGTAGAAGGATATCATGCTAGGTAAATTGGAGCATCAATGAAAGATGCTCCACTGTGCCAACAAGATGGACTGGCACAGTGGCAGCAGCAATGGACTCAAGCTTAACAGTGATTATGAGGATGGTGCAGAATTAGGCAGTGCTGGTTCTGTTGTGCATAAGGTCACTATGAGTTAAAACTGACCCAATACCAACTAATAACAACAAACTCAATGTCTGTGGTTAGAATCCCATTTAAGAATGCTTTTCTTTGTTCTGTTAACAAGGCAGGATTAGTGCCGGGTATATTGTGAGTCCATCTCTTTTGAGATATAAAAGCTATCAGGAGTGAAACAGCAGACATGAGGGGAAAAGACATAGCAAGCTACATGATGATCTCCCATAAGCAGAAGTTCAAAAGAGACAAAGACCTTGCCCCCAGAGACAACAGAGGGAGAAAGTAAGCTTCCTCCTAGAGTTGGCACCCTGAGTTCAGACTTCTAGACTCCTAAATTGTGAGAAGATAAATTTCTGTTTGTGAATCCACCCATTTGTAGTATTTCTGTTATGGCAGATAACCAAGATAGAACTTGGTTCCAGAAGTGGAGTGTTGTTCTAACAGATACATAAAATGTGAAAGTAGTTTGGAAATTGGGTAATAGCTAAAGGCTGGTAGCATTTTAAGGTGCGCTATGGCACTGTGGGCTAATGCGTCAGACTGCAAAGCCCTTTGAACTGCAAGGTTGGCAGTTCAAGCTCACTAGCTGCTCCTTGGAAACCCTATACAGGGTCGCTATGCATCGGAACTGACTCAACAGCACTTAATAACAACAATAGTAAAAACTTGACAAGAATAGGTAGACAATGAATGGGAAAGACCAAAAAATAATTGTTGTTGTTAAGTACCGTGGAGTCGGTTCCGACTCATAGCGACCCTGTACAGGGTTTCCGAGGCTGTAAATCTTTACGGGAGTAGAAAGCCTCATCTTTCTCTCACGAAACAGCTGGTAGTTTCGAACTGCTGACCTTGTGGTTCGCAGCCCAATTCGTAACCACTACGCTACCAGGGCTTCTTTTAATGCCTTTAAATTATGGTGTTTGCAAAAAATATTGAAAAGTAACATGGACTGCCAGAAGAACAAACAAATCTGTCTTAAAAGAAGTGCAACCACAATGTTCTTTATAATATGTTGTAAGTCTTTGCCTCTTGTAATTTGGACATGTTTTCAGAAGGGACTAGTTCCTAGAGAAGGACATCATGGTTAATAAAGTAGAGGATCAGCTAAAAAGAGGAAGACCCTTAATGAGATAGATTGTCACAGTGGCTTTGAGTTGATTTAAGACTCATGGGATGAAGTGATAGTGTGAATGTGTTTTGCATGTGGCAAGAACATGAATTTGAAATGCCAACGTGTGAAATGTTATGGATTGAATTATGTCCCCTAAAACATATGTGTTATAAATTCTAGCCTATATGCTTGTGGCATATAGGTGTTATAAAGAGTGTTATAAGTCCATTTGAGAATGAATTGTCTTTGTTAATGAGGCAGGATGTATATTGAACCAGTCTCTTTTGAGACATAAAACAGATTAAACTGGTGAGCAGAGCAGAGATGGAGACAGAGAGAGGCCAAGCCACACTAAGATCAACCAAGAGCAGAAGCTCAAAAAAAGACAAGGACCATCCTTCAGAGTAAACAGAGAGAGGAAGTTTTTCCCTAGAGCCAGCTCCCTGAATTCAGACTTCTAGCCTCCTAAATTTCAAGAAAATAAATTTCTATTTGATAAAGCCACCCACTTGTGGCCTTTCTGTAGCAGCAACCCTAGATAACCAAGACAAAAAAACAACAAGGAATTTCAGTAATGACACATGCATGTTTTACTCAACCTGGATTATACGTGACAACCTATAGGCAAGTCAAGAGGTTCTGCTTAGCTGGTGGTTCCTGTCATTCTTAAACCAATTATAAAGGTTGCCTTTAGATTTTGTTACTAGGCTTTTTACCTACAGAGCAGAATCTTAGGGGCTCCCATGATCTTAGAATTGTAGTTTTCTTCAGCAGAATGAAACATATATTCTCTGGATTCCAGGAAGCGAAAACTTGCCTTTCCCCCAAACAAACAAAAATCTCCCTTTTTATGCTGCACTCATGGCTGACTATTATGTATTTAAAATGGCATAACGGCAGCAACTAGTTAATGGAAGACACTGTTTATACAGCTGGGGATATGCTGGTTATGTGGTCAAAAAGAGTGTTATTTTCACAGTATGACAGGTTAACAGTAAAAATTGTGTCTGAGGGCTTCTTGCCACCAATAACCTCTTTCTAATACATCATTCCTCATTTCCAGTAAGCAGCATGCATTTTCTATGTAAATTGTGCACAATCAATCATGGACTCAATTTATTGGAAAGCAGTCCTATGTGGTATACTGGGTTTGAATCCCAACTTGCTTTAGTGTATCCTTGAGCGAGTTATATATTTGCTCTGTGATTCACTTTCCTCATCTGTAAAATGTGAATATCCATATCTGTCACAAAATGTTGCTAAGAGGAATAAGTGAAATATTTGTAAAGCCCTTGATACATCTTTGTTGTTGTTGTTAAGTGCCATTGAGTCAATTAGGGATCTGTTATACTGCATTGAAGGAATTAGCACACAACAACATTTAGAAGAGTTCTAACGATGTTCCACTGCTATTTATAAGGTTTTCAGTGGCTAATCAATCATTCAGAAGTGGTCTGCCTCTCCCTCTTCCTAGTCTGGATGCTCCACTGAAACCTGTTCACTGTAGGTGACCCTGCTGACATTTAAAACACTAGTGGCGTAGCGTCCAGCATCACAGCAACACACAAATCACAACAGTGCAACAAACTGGTTGAAAATATAACATCAACTTTTAAATGCTTATGGGTGAACTATTTTAGTCAGGATATGCCTAGAACCCTTGATTTATCCCTTTTTTTTACTTACTACT